GCGTCTGCGTGCAGCGGGTTGCGTGGCGTTGGATGCGTTGATGGTCCCCTCGTAGACGATCTCCACGCTGGGACTCCGGTCGTCTCGGCGCCTCCTGCTGGAGGAAACAGGAGACGAGATTCAGCACACAAACAAAAGAACGTCTTATTTTAAGGACTTAAAGTGCTCTCACCCGTCTCCCCGCTCGCCCTTTGAGCGCCGTCCTCCCTCTCTCTCTCCTCCTCCCTCTCCGTGTCCTCTCCTTCTCACGGCGCTCCCTCCTCTTCTCGCTACACGGGCCGCCGCTGCTCGGCCTCCACGTGGGGTCCTTGTCGTCGCTGTCCAGGTGTCGGCTTTTGTACTTCCTCTTCCCGCCGGGTTTCTCCCCGTGGTGAGTGAGGGAGGGGGTCAGCGGCGTCTGTGAGGAGAGCGGTGGCGAGGAGGAAGAGGAGGAGGAGGGTGAAGAGATGGAGGAGGTGAGAGGGGACACCTGGGAGCAGTGATAGCTCCAGGTGGAGTCCGGCGGGCTGGGTGGCGAGCTGGAGTCGGCGCTCGAGTGAAACGGCGAGGGTGAGCGCGAGGGCTGACGCATCAAGGCGGGATAAATGGAACGGTTCGGGTTGTAGAGGGTCCCGCTTTTCCTCCGCCCCTCCCTCCCTGATGTTGTTTTTCTCCTCTTTCTCCTCCTCTTCTCCCTCACCTCCTCGCTTCCTTTCCGCTTCCCGTCTTTCTCCCGCCGGCGCTCGCCATCTCCGGGCGTGGCGGGGCTGAGCGAGCACACGGAGTTTCTGCTCCTCTCCGAGCTGCCCGACCACGAGCGAAGCCTCCTCGCCTCGCCGTCCTTCAGCCTGTCCTCCTGCTCGTCTCCGCAGGTCACTGACGAGGAGGGAGGGATTGTGGGTACGTAGGGGAGGGGAGGGGTCAAGGAGGTGAGGGGAGGAGTCAAGGAGGTGAGGGGAGGATGCTCCTCTTTGGTCTCCTTCTTCATCTCCTCGTCCTCGGTGTCAGACGAGAGCTGCACCAGCTCCGGCGTCCGCTCCGCTATCGGCTTCTTGTACCCGACGATCAGACACTCCTCCACGTCCCCCTCCCGCTTCTCTCCTCCCTCATCATTGGCCGCTTCCTGGGGGGCGGGGCTGAACGACAGCGAGGAGAGCGAACACGGCGGCTCGGCGGTGGAGTAGGAGGGGCCCGGCGTCTCGTCGTCCCACGCCGACAGGCTGAGGCAGCTTCCTGTTTGGATGACATCATCATGGGCGTCTCCCTCCGCCCTTCCTCCCGCCAGCCCCTCCTCTTCCTCCTCGCCCTCCGAGATGGCGATGACGGAGCTGCTGTCCGAGGAGCTGCTCGTTCCGTCCAGCTCCAACGTGGCCTCCGGCGGCTCGTACGCCGCCTGCAGGTCGTAGTGTTCCAGGCTGAGCGGCGAGCGTGCGAAGCTGACCAGCTCGTGCAGGAAGTGATCCGTGCGGGCCAACAGGAAGGGACGCAGCTCTTCTTCTATGGTGGGCGTGTCCTCCAGGCCGTGGCGGGCGAGTCTCGCCATGATGATGCGTTGGACGATATCCACCAGTGATCCGTGCGCTCCGTACAGCACCGTCAGCTCCCGCCGCAGCCAGGGGCGGAGCCTGTTCAGATGGACGGGGTGTCTCCGGAAGCTCTCGGCTGTGATGTCACGCTGCTGTTGCCCCTGGTTACCGTTGACCCCCGCTACACCGCGGACCCGTATGCTGCAGCGGTAAAGCGCCCGACGGAAAGCAACAGTCTCTCTCTCCCTCAGCCGCCGCACGGTCCCGCCTTCTCGCTGCAGGCGCTGCCTCGCCGCCAAGCGAGTCATCAGCTGGCGTGATGCCCGATCAGTCGCCGCTAACGGAGCCGCCGCCCCCCCGAGTCCTGTCAGCCCCTCGAATATCACGCCACGCTCCGAGAGGTCGCCCCTGCCTCTCCTCCTTTGCTCCTCCGGCTCCTCCCCCTCCTCGCTGTCCTCGGCAACCACCGGAGAGACGGCGGCGGCGGGGTGAGGAAGAGGGGCGAGAGGAGGAGAGTCGAGGTACCACTCCCACACCCCCGCCCCCCCACCCGCCGCCCCTCCCCTCTCTCTCCTCCGCCTCCTCGTGGTCGCCTCTCCTCTGTCCGCCCCTCGGTGCCTCCTCAACATCAGCCAATCCTGGTGGGCGTTCCGTGCAGCGGAAGCCATCGCTGCTACCATGGCGACAGTGGCGGCAACGCTGCTGTTGGCGGGCGCGGGGCGCGGCGTGTACTCTTTGAAGTCGTCCTCGGCGAGGACCGAGTGCAGGATGGAGGTGAAGGGCTGCTTGCAGAGCGGACACTCGGCCTTGTTGTGCGACCACTCCTGGATGCACGGGAAGCAGAAGCGATGGAGGCAGCGGTCCAGGTACGCCAGGTTGTTGAAGCGATCCAGACAGATCGGACACTTTGAGTCGGGCGACGCCTCCTCCGCCGCCATCACCGCCCGCGCCGAGGCCGAGGCAGAGGAGGAGGCGGCGGCGGTGGGAGGAGACGAAGAGGATGTGGTGGCAGCTGGTGGTGCAGCGCTGCCGTTGTTTTTCCTCCTGCCGCCTCGACCCCGGCTCTCTCTGCTCGCCTCCTCCTCCACGACCTGCCAAACGCCGCCGTCTGCAGCGGCGCCGGCACCTTCGGCTGCGTGGTCACGGCGACGCACGCGCAGTTTCATCCGCGTTGGCGCCATCACCTGGAAATACAGAGAAAACGGGACAGACCTTAAGACCAAGGTCGTTCTCATGAATACAGAAAGGAGCCGCTTCAGGACAGGAAGTTAAGTTCAGAAACAGGAAGTGGTTAGAGATCCCAAAGTGAGGTCAGACAGCTCAAAGGAACGGAAACAAAAGGTCAATGTGTGATGTCATCAGGTCAGTGTGTGATGTCATGAGGTCAATGTGTGATGTCATCAGGTCAGTGTGTGATGTCATGAGGTCAGTGTGTGATGTCATGAGGTCAGTGTGTGATGTCATGAGGTCAGTGTGTGATGTCATGAGGTCAGTGTGTGATGTCATCAGGTCAGTGTGTGATGTCATCAGGTGTGTGATGTCATCAGGTGTGTGACTATAGGGACACTGCAGAGTCGACGACATAACTCGATGATTAAAACGTGTTCATTAAACGCTGAGGTTCATATTCTAGTAAATAAAAACAACAATATCGATTCCTGTGTGTTACCATGGCAACAAAAATAAAAGTCCTAAAGACAACATCTTGTCTCCTGCTCAGCAGGTGAACAGGTGATGAGTCTCCTGCTCAGACAGGTGAACAGGTGATGAGTCTCCTGCTCAGACAGGTGAACAGGTGATGAGTCTCCTGCTCAGACAGGTGAACAGGTGATGAGTCTCCTGCTCAGACAGGTGAACAGGTGATGAGTCTCCTGCTCAGACAGGTGAACAGGTGATGAGTCTCCTGCTCAGCAGGTGAACAGGTGATGAGTCTCCTGCTCAGACAGGTGAACAGGTGATGAGTCTCCTGCTCAGACAGGTGAACAGGTGATGAGTCTCCTGCTCAGACAGGTGAACAGGTGATGTGTCTCCTGCTCAGACAGGTGAACAGGTGATGTGTCTCCTGCTCAGACAGGTGAACAGGTGATGAGTCTCCAGCTCAGACAGGTGAACAGGTGATGAGTCTCCTGCTCAGACAGGTGAACAGGTGATGTGTCTCCTGCTCAGCAGGTGAACAGGTGATGTGTCTCCTGCTCAGCAGGTGAACAGGTGATGTGTCTCCTGCTCAGCAGGTGAACAGGTGATGTGTCTCCTGCTCAGCAGGTGAACAGGTGATGAGTCTCCTGCTCAGACAGGTGAACAGGTGATGTGTCTCCTGCTCAGACAGGTGAACAGGTGATGTGTCTCCTGCTCAGCAGGTGAACAGGTGATGTGTCTCCTGCTCAGCAGGTGAACAGGTGATGAGTCTCCTGCTCAGCAGGTGAACAGGTGATGAGTCTCCTGCTCAGACAGGTGAACAGGTGATGAGTCTCCAGCTCAGACAGGTGAACAGGTGATGAGTCTCCTGCTCAGACAGGTGAACAGGTGATGAGTCTCCTGCTCAGACAGGTGAACAGGTGATGAGTCTCCTGCTCAGACAGGTGAACAGGTGATGAGTCTCCTGCTCAGCAGGTGAACAGGTGATGAGTCTCCTGCTCAGCAGGTGAACAGGTGATGAGTCTCCTGCTCAGACAGGTGAACAGGTGATGAGTCTCCTGCTCAGCAGGTGAACAGGTGATGAGTCTCCTGCTCAGCAGGTGAACAGGTGATGAGTCTCCTGCTCACCTGTCTGATGCATTATGACGTGTTTTAAAGCTCTGATGCTGTTGGTTTGTTTCAAACATTTAATAAATCTCCTCATCTCTCTCATAAACAAAGAAACATAAACAAAGAAACATAAACAAAGAAACATAAACAAAGAAACATAAACAAAGAAACATAAACAAAGAAACATAAACAAAGACAAACAGCTGCGCGAGGAGACGACACTGACGGCTGCTAATCTGTTAGCATGCTAACAGATTAGCATGCTAGCTGTTTACCTTCTCTATTCGCTCAGAACACCTTTATATAAAGGTGAACCACATCCGGGTGACGCAGGTAAGAACCAGCACTACTCTCTCTCTCAGGTGTGATCGATAATGTGATCGACCACGCCCCCCGATGACACGGGAAGGCTGTCATCACAGTTAGCCTGCTAGCATGCTAACAGTGGTTAGCTTTCCGTACCTGAGCAGCAGAAGAAGACTCTCCGGGTCGCTCCGGGAGCTTCTCATCCGGGGTTTTTCTCCTCCTCCGGGCAGAGCCCCGCGCCGCCAGCGGCATCAACCGGTCCACCGGGCTGCGCCGCTCCGACCCGCTCAGACGTTTAGATCTCCCGGTAAACACGGAGACATTCGTGTCGCCCGAACCGACGATACACACAACTGAAGCGAGAACACCGCGGTGGCTGATGGGAAATAGAACATCTTTTTTTTGTATACAAAGATCGTTTAAAACTGAGATGACTTACTCTGATCAAACATCCGAGTCTTTATTATGTTTTCATCGTAAAGACACGAGACTGAACCTCGACGTAAATAAAGCCGTAAAATACATTTAATGCAGTAAAAAGAAAAACATCGGGACCTGAAATCTGTCGTATTAAAGAAGGAAATAAATTGTGTTTTTTAAATAACTTTTTACTCAATCAGTCGCCGACGAAGCAGCGGGAGCGATTTGGATAAAATAATGAACATTATTAAATAATGTCCAGAAAATAAGATGAGGTTCTTAAAATACCAGTGCAGAAATCATCATCTCTATACAGACGAGCGGCTGCACTGGGGGACGCAGCCTCATATATAAAAAGAAACAAGCAAAAAAATATATTTATATTCTGTTCTGTCGTCAGTAAGTTCGATGCCGTTAATATGATCGCTTTTGGACCACATGGTAGACAACCGGCTGCGTGGTGAACGTTTAAGTTCACGTACTTGTCCAACGCGTGTTACTTGAGGATTCCTCTAGAGGGAGCTCCACATAAATCACTTATAGATAATAAAATGCCATAGTTAAAGGCCGTATCCAAATTGTCAAGTACCTACTCAATCTGTCAGTAAGCAGTAGTCAGTACCTACTATCTGCTGTATACTGTTAGTACCTACTATCAGCTGTATACTGTTAGTACCTACTATCTGCTGTATACTGTTAGTACCTACTATCTGCTGTATACTGTTAGTACCTACTATCTGCTGTATACTGTTAGTACCTACTATCTGTGCTGTTTACTGTTAGTACCTACTATCTGCTGTATACTGTTAGTACCTACTATCTGTGCTGTTTACTGTTAGTACCTACTATCTGCTGTATACTGTTAGTACCTACTATCTGCTGTATACTGTTAGTACCTACTATCTGCTGTATACTGTTAGTACCTACTATCTGCTGTATACTGTTAGTACCTACTATCTGCTGTATACTGTTAGTACCTACTATCTGCTGTTTACTGTTAGTACCTACTATCAGCTGTATACTGTTAGTACCTACTATCTGCTGTATACTGTTAGTACCTACTATCAGCTGTATACTGTTAGTACCTACTATCTGCTGTATACTGTTAGTACCTACTATCTGCTGTATACTGTTAGTACCTACTATCAGCTGTATACTGTTAGTACCTACTATCTGCTGTATACTGTTAGTACCTACTATCAGCTGTATACTGTTAGTACCTACTATCTGCTGTATACTGTTAGTACCTACTACCTGCTGTATACTGTTAGTACCTACTATCTGCTGTATACTGTTAGTACCTACTATCTGCTGTATACTGTTAGTACCTACTATCTGCTGTATACTGTTAGTACCTACTATCTGTTGTATACTGTTAGTACCTACTATCTGCTGTATACTGTTAGTACCTACTATCTGCTGTATACTGTTAGTACCTACTATCTGTTGTATACTGTTAGTACCTACTATCTGCTGTATACTGTTAGTACCTACTATCTGTTGTATACTGTTAGTACCTACTATCTGCTGTATACTGTTAGTACCTACTATCTGCTGTATACTGTTAGTACCTACTATCTGCTGTATACTGTTAGTACCTACTGTTCAGTATACACACACAGTAGGCAGATATTTGTTCCTACTTCTTCTGATTCATTCAGTATGGAAGTGACGTCTTTACGTTTCATTTAAGAGTAATGCCCATATACAGTCAGGTAAACAACAAACAATATCACAATGTAAATCAAGTAAAAGATTAAATAACTAAATAACATACAGTACATAAAGAACAAATGAAAGACAGTAATATACAGAATATAAAATAAACCAATAAAGACACATTTAAATAGTTAAATCATTATTTAAATAGTTAAATCATTATTTAAATAGTGAAATCATTATTTAAATAATCATTATTTAAATAGTGACATCATTATTTAAACAGTTAAATCATTATTTAAATAGTTAAATCATTATTTAAATAGAGAAATCATTATTTAAATAGTTAAATCATTATTTAAATAGTGAACTCATTATTTAAATAGTGACATCATTATTTAAATAGTGACATCATTATTTAAACAGTTAAATCATTATTTAAATAGTGAAATCATTATTTAAATAGTGACATCATTATTTAAATAGAGAAATCATTATTTAAATAGTGAAATCATTATTTAAATAGTGACATCATTATTTAAATAGTTAAATCATTATTTAAATAGTGAAATCATTATTTAAATAGTGACATCATTATTTAAATAGTTAAATCATTATTTAAATAGTGAAATCATTATTTAAATAGTTAAATCATTATTTAAATAGAGAAATCATTATTTAAATAGTGACATCATTATTTAAATAGAGAAATCATTATTTAAATAGAGAAATCATTATTTAAATAGTGACATCATTATTTAAATAGTGAAATCATTATTTAAATAGTGACATCATTATTTAAATAGTTAAATCATTATTTAAATAGTGAAATCATTATTTAAATAGTTAAATCATTATTTAAATAGAGAAATCATTATTTAAATAGAGAAATCATTATTTAAATAGTGACATCATTATTTAAATAGTGAAATCATTATTTAAATAGTGACATCATTATTTAAATAGTTAAATCATTATTTAAATAGTGAAATCATTATTTAAATAGTTAAATCATTATTTAAATAGTGAAATCATTATTTAAATAGTTAAATCATTATTTAAATAGTGAAATCATTATTTAAATAGTGACATCATTATTTAAATAGTTAAATCATTATTTAAATAGTGAAATCATTATTTAAATAGTGACATCATTATTTAAATAGTGAAATCATTATTTAAATAGTGACATCATTATTTAAATAGTTAAATCATTATTTAAATAGTGAAATCATTATTTAAATAGTTAAATCATTATTTAAATAGTTAAATCATTATTTAAATAGTGAAATCATTATTTAAATAGAGGAGGAAAGGTTTTATAATAATGCAGATATTTGTTATATTTTCTGTTGTTAATTTAAAGTAGTGATTTCAGTCGGGACTTTAACTCTAGATTAAAAACTGATTCAATTAATCCACGCTCGTTTGTTTTGATTTGGAGGCGCACGTGAAGTGATGATTTACGTTTAATTTCACAAAGCATTGTGGGTAAAATACAATTCATTTCCTGAAAGCACGCATCGGATCCATACTGCATGAAACCAGGAAGTTAGTATCCATACTGAAATGTTCAGTATACTGAGGTGGACCCAAACAATAACCACTGAATGACCACGAGGGTTCAGTCTACTGAAACTCCTACTGAAAAGTACTGACTACTGAACTGTGGATATTCAGGAAGGGCCCAGGAACAAATATCTGCCTACTGTGTGTGCGTACTGAATAGTAGGTACTAACAGTATGCAGCACAGATAGTACATACTGCATACTGCTTACTGCATACTGAAAGATTGAGTATGTACTTGGCAATTCGGATACGGCCCTGGTTTAAGAACAGCAGTTTTTATATAGAATACAGGGGGGGGATAAATCGTGTTGGTGTTTTTTTTCTGAAGCGGAGTGAGACATCTCGCCTGCGCCTGTGATTCCTCCCTGTGTTTTATACAGCACGTGCTGCCCCCTAACGGTTCAGACAGGAAGCGGCTCTCTGATCCATGAGAACAACATCCGGTCTGTTCCACTCCGGATGGGGGTCCAGCGCTGGTCATTGAGTGAAGAGGATAAATGATTAAAGGAAGCTTCAGAGGGAGATGGAGACCTTCAGCAGACGAGCCCTGCACAGGATTCACTCCGCGGTATGTTCACTGCTGAGGTCATCCCCCGGTGTTTCGGATTAATGAGTGACCGTGCTAACTGGTGACCCGTGTACGCCAGCTTGTTTTTTTTTTATGTCTAACTATCCTCAGGTGAGTCTGTAATGAAGAACTAAACCAGAAAACGAAGAATTTCCAGTTTTAATCAGCCGCTGTAACCACGACAACCGCAGCAGGTCACCAGATAACACGGTCACTCTTTGAACCAATACACCGGCTAAAGGTGTAAACATGAAGCGTGGTTTGATTTAAAGTGAAAATCAAATCTGTGTTTGTTCAGTGAGAATCTTCTTGGCTCCACTGGAGGATCATTAAGAAGCATGTGGGTCAAAAACTCTTTAAATGTCTCACAGAAAACATTTAGAGGGTAATTAATTAGACAGTTAAACCAGTTCGATTATTGAACCTTCTTCCGTCGTCTTCTTCGTTGGTGTTTAAAGGCGGTTGGGGTCCAAAGAGTTGCACTGCCGCCTACCTCTGAATGTCGGTATTACTACAGTATCACAGCATTTAAGACAATAACGAAAAAAAGAAGAAATGAATTCATAATAAGAGTTCTTCGACCCCGGAACCTTCTCAGACATGTTTTGTGTTTCGGAGGAGAATGTGTGACCTTTAACCCCTGTGGTATCAAAGTGTAGAATAAAGGTTGTTTTTTTCATCGTCTGTCTCTCAGATCTTGCTCGCCATCGTCGTCTTGTCCTGGTCTTATGTGATCTACGCCAGCAGGATCGCTTCTCATTGGCTGCTGGAGAAGAGGACGGCCCCCCTTCAGCAACACTGACAGCTCATTGGATGATGAGACCGGTGAGAGTTTCACACGTTTGGTTTTTGGTGACATGATGTAAATGTTTCGGTGTTTCAATAAATCTTCTCTCTGTCTGTTTGTTAGTCCTGCTGGACTCGACCCCCCTGAGGGTCCAACGTCTTCCAGGTCTGAGAGACTTCACCCTTAGAGACCTGCCAGACCTTCAGAGACCTGCCAGACCTTCAGAGACCTGCCAGACCTTCAGAGACCTGCCAGACCTTCAGAGACCTGCCAGACTTGTAGAGACCTGCCAGACCTTCAGAGACCTGCCAGACCTTCAGAGACCTGCCAGACCTTCAGAGACCTGCCAGACCTTCAGAGACCTGCCAGACTTGTAGAGACCTGCCAGACCTTCAGAGACCTGCCAGACCTTCAGAGACCTGCCAGACTTGTAGAGACCTGCCAGACCTTCAGAGACCTGCCAGACCTTCAGAGACCTGTAGAGACCTGCCAGACCTGTAGAGACCTGCCAGACTTGTAGAGACCTGCCAGACCTTCAGAGACCTGCCAGACCTTCAGAGACCTGTAGAGACCTGCCAGACCTTCAGAGACCTGCCAGACCTTCAGAGACCTGCCAGACCGTCAGAGACCTGCCAGACTTGTAGAGACCTGCCAGATCTTCAGAGACCTGCCAGACCGTCAGAGACCTGCCAGACTTGTAGAGACCTGCCAGACTTGTAGAGACCTGCCAGACCTTCAGAGACCTGCCAGACCTTCAGAGACCTGCCAGACTTGTAGAGACCTGCCAGACTTGTAGAGACCTGCCAGACCTTCAGAGACCTGCCAGACCTTCAGAGACCTGCCAGACTTGTAGAGACCTGCCAGACCTTCAGAGACCTGCCAGACCTTCAGAGACCTGCCAGACTTGTAGAGACCTGCCAGACTTGTAGAGACCTGCCAGACCTTCAGAGACCTGCCAGACCTTCAGAGACCTGCCAGACTTGTAGAGACCTGCCAGACTTGTAGAGACCTGCCAGACCTTCAGAGACCTGCCAGACCTTCAGAGACCTGCCAGACTTGTAGAGACCTGCCAGATCTTCAGAGACCTGCCAGACCTTCAGAGACCTGCCAGATCTTCAGAGACCTGCCAGACCTTCAGAGACCGGACTGACTGCTCTGTTAAAGACCTCTGAAGTGGACTGAACCTGCTGGACCCTGTTAGCCCTCCTGTGGTTCAAACCTCTTCCAGGACTGTGGACAGGAAGCTGTGAATAATAAAATGAGGATTTATCTGAACCTGGTCCGCTGTGAAGATCTGAATCCATCAAACTCACCTGAAACTATTTTATATCATCCATTAAAAACTGTTTTATGAGACAATCGTCTTCATTTGATTGGTTCTGAGATCAGGTCTCCCTCTCAAGTCCATCTCCTAACACCAACTGGTCCAGAACAGCATCATCTCCAGACCCCCCCACACACACACACACACACACACACACACACACACACCACACACACACACACAGTCAGACACACACACACACACACACACAGTCAGACACACACACACAGTCAGGCACACAGACACACACACACGCACACAGACACACACACACACACACACACACACCACACACAGTCAGACACACAGACACACCACCACACACACACACACACAGTCAGACACACAGACACACACACACACAGTCAGACGCACACACACACACACACACACACACAACACAGCGCTGACTCAGCTGATCCCCTCTGAAGACTGGACAGTGGGGGGGGGGGTCACGTTGTCCCCTCATTACGCCTCAAAGCGAGACGTCACAGGAGCGTAGATATGAACAGGGCTGTTTGTGGTCTTTATGCTAAGCTAAGCTAACAGAAGATTTACACTGACTACACAAACGTGAGCGTGTCGGGCCGATTTGTTTTTCAGTGTTTCTGTTCAGCACGCCGAGTCCCATATGAAAGGAAACGTGTGTGTGTGTGTGTGTGTGTGTGTGTGTGTGTGTGTGTTAATGTATTCAGTAACTGAAAGAAGCTCACACACACACACACACACACACACACACACACACACACACACAGTATTGTTTGGAGACTCTCTTTGATGTTTCCTCTCAGATGTAAATGCTCAACAGAATGAGTGGATGAGAGAGGGCGAGCAAGCTTTACAAAGAGAGAGAGGGGGTGGGGGTCTGTCGGTGAGTACTCATTCTATTAACCAAAACATTTCAAACACACACACACACACACACACACACGTTGTGTCTCATGTGTAATTAACAACCTGCTCCCTCACATACAAACAGCTGATTTATAAAAACCTCCTCGACGTCTCGCTGCTTTAAACATCCTGATCCGTTATCTGAACCAGGGTCGATATCTGAAACACTCGTTTTAACATCCATATAAAACTTAACAAATATAAACAAATTGAATAAACCGAGTGTAGCGCCGTTATCGGTTTGTGCAGGTCGTCAAAAATAGGTGAACAGGTGAGTGTGGTTCGATAGTCGAGTGATATCAGACAATATTATCGGCTGTTTTTTTTAGATTTTTAAATTTTAAAATGTATTTTACAGGGACATTGCATATTAATAAACATTTCTGTAAATATGCCAGAGTTAGCCAAAAGGCTGATTTTCATCTGTTGTCCCTGGACAGATTTTATAAAACAAAACAAATTCAAACATCGCTAAAAGCTACAAAAAGAAATATCATGACAGTAATGAAGCAGCCACAGGAGAAAATACATAAAGCATGCAGGATACACATCAAGCATGCAGGATACACATCAAGCATGTAGGATACACATCAAGCATGCAGGATACACATAAAGCATGCAGGATACACATAGAGCATGCAGGATACACATAAAGCATGCAGGATACACATAGAGCATGTAGGATACACATAAAGCATGTAGGATACACATAGAGCATGCAGGATACACATCAAGCATGTAGGATACACATAAAGCATGCAGGATACACATAAAGCATGGGATACACATAGAGCATGTAGGATACACATAAAGCATGTAGGATACACATAAAGCATGTAGGATACACATAGAGCATGCAGGATACACATCAAGCATGCAGGATACACATAAAGCATGCAGGATACACATCAAGCATGCAGGATACACATAAAGCATGTAGGATACACATAGAGCATGCAGGATACACATAAAGCATGTAGGATACACATCAAGCATGCAGGATACACATCAAGCATGCAGGATACACATCAAGCATGCAGGATACACATCAAGCATGTAGGATACACATCAAGCATGCAGGATACACATCAAGCATGCAGGATACACATCAAGCATGTAGGATACACATAGAAGCATGCAGGATACACATCAAGCATGTAGGATACACATAAAGCATGCAGGATACACATAGAGCATGCAGGATACACATCAAGCATGTAGGATACACATAAAGCATGCAGGATACACATAAAGCATGTAGGATACACATAAAGCATGCAGGATACACATAGAGCATGCAGGATACACATCAAGCATGCAGGATACACATCAAGCATGCAGGATACACATAAAGCATGCAGGATACACATAAAGCATGTAGGATACACATAGAGCATGCAGGATACACATCAAGCATGTAGGATACACATCAAGCATGTAGGATACACATCAAGCATGTAGGATACACATAAAGCATGCAGGATACACATAAAGCATGCAGGATACACATAAAGCATGCAGGATACACATAGAGCATGCAGGATACACATCAAGCATGTAGGATACACATCAAGCATGTAGGATACACATCAAGCATGTAGGATACACATAAAGCATGCAGGATACACATAAAGCATGCAGGATACACATAAAGCATGCAGGATACACATAAAGCATGTAGGATACACATAAAGCATGCAGGATACACATAAAGCATGTAGGATACACATAAAGCATGCAGGATACACATAAAGCAGTGTTTGATTCATATATGAAATGTAGATCATGCAGCAGGATAGAACAATAAAAAAACAAGTATTAGTAAAAACACGTATCCAATAAAGTCGAGCTCTACTCCTGAGAGAGAGAAGCTGCCTTTAGCAGCTGTGCTCATTATCAAACCTCTCATGTAGATGAGCCCAGGTAACACACACACACACACACACACACACACA